GGGAATTCTCATAGGATACTGCAGACAAAGAAAATGCTACTAGATATGAAAACGTTTCTGCAGTCTGTCCTACCGTGGAGTTTGAATACAAGAAAAAGAGAAGAAACTAAGACTATGGTTTTTCAAGAAAATGGTTGTTCTAGTTCTTAATGTTGTAATGCATGGAATTGTCAAACCTTAGATGACAAGGTAAGGCTTGGAAGGAGGCAGTACCAATAAATTAGAACTGTGATGAAATGAAATGTGATGATAAAATAGAAGGCGTTTCTCTTAGAAGCTCAGAATAGAAAAATAGAATCATTAAGGTTGGAAAAGACTGCCATGATCATCAAGTCCAACCATCAACCCAACACTACCACGGAACCATGTCCTGAAATACCATGTCCACACATTTTTTTAAACACCTTCAGGGACGGTGGCTCCACCACCTCTTGGGAGAGAACAGAATATGTTGTTTTAGGCAGATTTATATACCAGGTTAGGGGGTATTCTGAGTATTTTCTACTTAATTTTTGAGGCATGAGACAACAAATGCATTGTGAAAATTACTATTCTTTCAGAGGAGAGCTCTTTTGGAAATGTAGTTTTAGCTTAGTAGAAGCTTTTTGCTACATTGTTGTCACAGGGCATAGGTTCCAAGATCAGTAACAGAGGACTGCCATGACAGCTGATGACTGTTTTCATCAGCATTCCTTAACCACTTTTAACCTGTGTTCTCCTCTTTTCTTGTTAATAGAACCATTTTTGCAATAGATGGACATTTTCAAATTATGCTCAGAAGATTATATCGCATGAAAAGTGAATGACCACTTGATTTACTTGATACTAGCATGTACAAGAAAGATTAATGCTCCCTTTAAATAATAATAAAAAACAAATTAAAAGATAAAATAATTAAAATGTTTTTATGTGTTACTGAGGGCAAAGATTTTGCATTTTCCTTTGAAAAAGCTGTGCTTCAAAGTAAATACTTTTTCAGGATCCCAAAACATGCCTCTGGCAAATGGAATTCATATGTGTATGTGCATAGCGAACACAGAGAAGGTGTAATTTTGTTCTCTTGCTATAAGCATACACAATACATAAATTATTCTTTGTCCATGTCATTATTTAAACTGGGACACTAACCTAATTTCATATTTGAAGGTGAAGATGCACGGTAGCTTCCTTTTTTGCCCAATATTTTCCCAAAAAGAGAGTTGTACTCCCTCCCCCAACCCCAGAAGAATTTTTAAAATATGAGAGCTTGACTCTGTTTTTCCTTACTCTGGCATAAATTAATTGCACTGAGGCCACTGCAGCTACACAAGTGATGTGACAAAAGAACCAAGCACCATATGGTCTTAGTTCCTACTGATTGCAAGATTGGTTTGATTACATTAATACTAACATCATGACAAAGCACTGCAATCCAAAAAGCATGCAAGAGATAGAAAAAAAAAATCCCAGCCTTTAATATATTTCAAAGAAAACAGATAAGCCTATTATTAGCCACTGAAACTGACTCCTTTGGTTAAACAAGTAGTTCCAACCTTCAGCTGGTTGTGGTGTCTCAAGAATGAATTTTGAATTGTGTAGCTCATTAATTTACTATAATAGGCTTGAAAAATATCCCCAAACTGCTAGCTGTGCAATGGGCACTGGCCAATAAAATACAAAAGTTCAGGGCTGTATTTTACACCTACTGTAGTTATATGGTGAAATGCAGCTAAGCATATAGAGAGTGCATGATTTTATGATAAGCACGTATTTCAGGATGTTCACTAAAAAGAAATGCCTGTGAGATGTCTGGGTTTGGTAAACCTGCTTCATATTATTCTCAACTAAACCAGTGTATCCTGTAGGAAGCTGACTGGTTATACGAGAGAAAAGTTTCTATAGCATGTTTGCCCCCCTCTTCAGCATGTGACTGGGTTTTCTGTGAGAAGGAAGAGGATGCGGAAAATACAGAAGAAAGTTTGCCTCTTAGACAAGAGGTTGAGCTAGAAATAACATATATTTCTAGTTTGTTTTACATTTGACTTCCAAACACAATTTTGTTAGTTAAAATGTGCTGTATTCTAAATACCCAAGTTAAGATCTCAGGGCCAGTTAGGGTTCCTGAACTAGATGTTCTCGTACTTAAACCTAATTCAGTTTTCTGGTGTCTTGGCTGGCCTCCAGGTGCTGACCCAGAAGACCTTAGGTCCCCTGTAGATCATGTCAGACCTGCCAGGACTGTGTGGGTGTCCCTGGTAATTGGAGGCATCTCAAATGCTACAGGCTTTCTTTAAGCTTCTGAACTATGCCCTAGATGACAAATGATTATAATGGGAGCTTAGACATCTAACTGAAGTGTATTATGTACAACAATTTGGATTTGATACCCAGTGAACAGCAGGAAAACACAGACCGGGAAGACACGCAGGTTTTCCACACATTCCTCTCTCTTAGGCAGCCTTGCAGTTTACTTACGATCTGGTCATTCCTGATCAGCATCCAGGTTATTTTGAACCCTTGGCCTAGTTGCTTAATTCTCCCTATTCACTTATGCAGGAAATGAATTTGTTTTGCAAACTCTGGAATCAGATGCCTAAAGGTCAAGTAAGGCAATGGTCATCTCTGAATTTGGTATGATGCCTTATGCTTTGCCTTAGCTTTTATTTACATCACACCATAAATATTTAAGTTCCACTGACCACCAGAACACAGATTCCCATCAAACTAGAAGTTGTCTTCTTTGCATGTCTCTGAGAAAAATTATAATTACTTAAAAGTTTCTCATCTCTCCATTATGCTTTTTGGGCAATGGCTTTAAAACCTGTCATGCTACTGGAAAATTTCCTTAGGAATAAAAATTAACAGTCATAATTTGCTATGTCTAGGTGTTAAAATGACACGTCATTCTGCTCTTTGGAAAAATCATGGTATGAGCCCAGAAACAGCCTGAAATGCTTACCCTGTTCCCTGTATACTGTGCATTCCAAAGAGATTAAAATGTTTTTTGTCTCCTTTTCTATCTCCTTTCCTAAACCAAATCCCAGGAATGTTGCCTTTATCTAGGCCAACAGAAGGACCATCCCTTTCTGTCTAGCTGGGGTGTGGTAGAAGTTGTGGCTGAAAATTTGTCTGCAGTGTGGAAGACAGAACAATACAAAACTACAACTTAGCATTTGTAGTGTATGCTAAATGGGTTAATAATTCAGTCACTGGCAGATTTCAAAACACAATTATTGAAGAAAGGCCATTGAATTTCTAGTGTAATTCCACAGTGAACAGTAGTAGACAGAATGCAATCCAATCTTTTTCATCAAAACCAGAAGTAAACACCCAAGGAACTGTCTATGTGAACCAAATGGCAAAGCAGTAAAAAGTGACTAACAATACATTCATACAGAAATCCAGACAGCATGAGAACTTAAAACATTCAAACCTACTGTGCTTTGTCACAGCCACGTGCAAAATTATACACAAAGGAAAAAAGAGGCATGCCACACATATCAGGATGGGGCAGTGTATCCTGGCAAGCCAAGATTCCAGGAAGGATTTAAATCTAGTGCACAAACAAGATGAAAACCATTTTATAGCCCAGTGCAAGGAAGTAAATGGGTAATGAAAGCCTTTCATGAATAATGCTGGGAGTAGTAAGTGTAGGGAGGTGAGACTATCTCTGCAGACAGCAGAGTTAAAGTAGTGCATGTGGTCAGTGTCTGCAGTCCTAGAGGAATTCTCAGATGTTGGAGAGGTGAGGAGAAGAGCTGTTGAACTTATTTAAAACCTGAAGAAAATGTTATCACAGAGAAATTCAAGGTGCTCAGTCTGTTTAGCACTTCATCAATCACTTGACTGATACTTATATTTCTTAATGGGGACAACATATTAGGCACAAAAAGACTCTTTAATCTAGACAAAGGCTATAAAAGGAATCAACAGCCAGACCCCCAAAACAAATAAATATAGAGAAAAAAATTAGAAAAAAAAGTCAACAGTGCAGGTGATTAATCATGAGAACAAAGTATCTGGCAAATGATGGATTCTCTACCTCTAGATCCATTTGATCAAGAGTGGAATAGATGCTTCATTCAAAGAAAACCAGGCATATCCATGAGTTAAAACAAGGTGATATAAACTGTACATGTTACCGAAAACCAGCAGATTGGAAGTCCACACTTTTGGGACTGTGCAGCTTCTGTCACAGTACACAGGCAATATCACAAGTTAATTTTTAAATTAAAAAGATAAGAACACAATACAAGTTTTTAAATCATAACCTTGTAAAGACACTTTCCAAGTCCTTGATGTTTATTCACGTTCTACTCCACACACAGTGTGGAGGCACTACTTAAATTACAAACCTGCCAGGAGAAAGATGTGCAGGACACATCTGAGCTCGTATTTAGAGCCAACAATGCACACAGGTTGAATCAGCCTGAGCCATGCTTCCATCTCCTCTTTAACAATCATCCAGACCACTCAAATTGAGCATGTTGCATTTCTCATTGCTTATTTATCTCCTTGTGTCACAGCTCCCATCTTCCCTGATAAGTGGAACCTCCCTAGCAATTGGTCTGTGGATCACTGTGTACCACTTGAGTCCTCAGTGACTTTCCTCTTAGTGGCAGTTGACAAAGGAATGACATACAGAGGGAACAGGTAGTAGAAACTATAGGATTATTCCAAGATGATGTCTTCAGTCTGAGGCCTGTACCATGTAGTTATGCTTGTGGGACACTACGAGAAGTGGCAGCCTAACTGGGGGCACCAGTAGAAACAGTCTGATATTTGGAAGACTGGCAGTGCTTCCACGTTTGATCTGGAATGCTGCAGTAGTGTTCTGTGTGCATTATGAGTCTTTAGAAGTATTTTAATATAAACTGTAATTTTCAGTGTAATCACCAAGATACCTCTTAAATTTTGGACATGAATGGGTGGTATGCCCATCTCTGGATAGTGTGCATGAGGAAAATACTAAGTCACAGATTTCCCAGGAGTGTAGGAAAGAAGGGAAGCTATTTGCTCACCTGAAATTTTTATTTGAGCTACTTCTCCATCTCCTCCTTCACTGTGTGCTCGGACCTCCACAACATATTCACCATCACTGGGGACTGGGACCTCTATTGTGTGCTTTCCAGTCGAAAACAACTTGCCTTCATGTTGTCCATCTGGTCTATAAAGGATCTAGGAAAGTCATAGTAAGTGTAGTTACTGAAATGCTACATTTCCATGAAAACACAGTTACATATCTACAATGTGCCAGTGAAAATGTATTAGATTTTTATTTATATATGAAGCCTATATATATCACAGCTTAGTGGCTGATATTACTTCTTCCATTTTTATGTAGGGTGAATCTAGACAGGATGTCTCCTCATTGTTTTCTCTGTTATAAAATTATGCCACCTTTTGAAAAATATTTTCAGCCCCTGTACTTGAAATAAGTAATTAAATGATAGAACATAATAAAGCAGGGTGGCAAAGAGAATCAAATAAAAGTATGAAAACTCAGGTAGGTTTTCTGACATAAAATTTATTACCATTTTCACAAATGGAAGAATTATTAATTTTATTATCCCTCGATGTGCAACTATTGCAAATGTGATGTTAGATGTCTTGTGGCACCCTTAGAAAAGATCTCCATCTATTCTGGAATAATGTCTGTGAAACATTGCCAGCAATTCCCAGGAAGCTGTTCAACTCCTCAAGCAAAATTTGTACATGTAGAACATGATACTGATTTTCTCTACTACCAGCAAGCAGTGAGGTTAAACAGGAATTAATTTTTGATGGTTTATATACGCCATTTGTCAGTATATACACTTGTTCTACTCATACAGTAATTGCATCTGATGAGGTTCAATGTCCCTTCCCTTCCTCTACCTCCCCAGACTTTAAAGAACTCGTGTTCCAGGAATCGCAGCTCCCAAGGAGATGGGAAAGGAAAGCTGGAACAATGCATACTGGTATAACAAAAAAAATACTAAAGTGTACAGTTTTTTAAAGCATTAGTTTTAGCCAATATACAATAAATGTAATCATGGGAATGAGGCTGCTGCAGTCACTGATCTAAACTTTCCCATAATATGATTTACCACCCAAATGAATTTTAGTGCCCCATTGTTTTCTCATCATATTGACTAAGCCCACAGGCTTTGCCCTCAGCCTACAGGATGTCTGTGATCTCTGAGCACGATACCTTCACCTGTAGCATGTAACTATGCTTAAATCTGATTAGGTACAAAAATGTCAATCAAATGTACCTCATGTAGCATACACAAAGATAAAAAATATTTTCATAGGTCATACTTTGTATCCTTCAACTGCAGACTCATTTGACATTGCCTTCACGTGATCCCAGGTGATGATGTACCTTGAACCAGACCTTACAGAACTGATAATTCTTGGGCGTTGGCTTGGAGCTGAAAAGCAACATAAATGAGATTTCATAAACATTCAGTGAACTCCTTATAAAGACATGTACAAATGTAAAAAGGGAAATTAGGTTGATCTTTATATGATTAAGGGATAGTCTCCTTCCTGCAATTACATGCTACAGCTCCAGCCAGGCAATTTTGGATGGCTGGTGCCGTGGCTGCTTTGTGGGTTTGCCTTTCTGTGTTGCCAGAACGGAAGTGGCCAACATTACCCTTAACTATGTTGCTGACCATGTGTGCTTGCTGGCATGCAACTGTGTTCAGAACCTCCCAGAAATGTGGCTTAAGTCATATTTATTCACTGAGATTAAATATTTAATTAACCATTTAAAGGCACTTCTACAGCATTTAACTCAGTAGAAATTGGAGAACACTACTGCAGAAACCATTAATTGTATTTCACACCATAAGCTTATAAAATGGTCTTATTCAACACAACCAAACCTGCAGGTGCAAGTTGCACAATACACTATTTACTGACGGAAATCCTCAAATTAGTTGTATGTATTTTTAGCCCGTATAAATGTGATTTAAATACACAAGATGTATTTCTTAATTGAACATTCCTCAGCATATGTTGACGCTAGGCATCATCATTAAGTCAGGAGCTATATTCAGAAACCTATTATGGCAGGTACATTCAAGGGTGTGATTCAGATCACTGTCTTTTCAAGGCTGCCTGATCCTGGACCCCTCTACTGTTAATGAAAATGGCAATTGGTCATGCTTTAATTGTCATAATACAATCCTTCTCACTACCAATTCAACAAAAAGAGAGGATATAGCTGTCTAAGTAATAGCTGGTCTGAATTGTTTATCATTCAGAATATCATGTTGTTTTGCCAATGACCAGGCCCAACAAAAATGATAGCGCCAGCAGGAAGAGAATCCAATATGCAGACTGTATTGTAGACAAAAATGTTATGATATGAATGACTGCTGGGGGTACAAACAGGTCAACCAGCTGGTACATGATCGACACCACCCCCAACGATCCCACAAAACATATGACCCGGCCCACAACAGGTGGTACAAACAGTGAACTGGGGTTGCCCACAGTTGGCATGGGAAACAGCCAGACCAGCCAGCTAAACACATGAGAAAAAGGTGCCCACATGGCAACTCTCACCCAATCAAACAACATTCACAAAGGCCTAAACAGACCAGGGCCCAGCTCCAGGGAGAGTCAGGAGGTCTGCCCTGACCCAGGAAGCTCTGGGGAGTGCACTCCACCGACAGACACTCCTGACTCCCTGCAAGTGGTCCCAGCTTTTATCCCCAAGCAGACACCTGACCTTTGTCAACTCAGTGCGGGACCCCTGGGGCTCATTTCCCTTCTGGCTCTCCCTGCAGGGCCGGCCGCACCCTGGGGGGAAGCTATAAGGCAAACTCACCACCTCTTTATGAAGGGCTGTGGGAATCACCCATATGTCAACCTTAATTTGGGGCTCGGGGTTCAGACACCAGCATTTCACACGTCCAGCTTTGGGGTGCCCCTGTACTAGAAAGACATTGGTAATCAGGAGTGACTTCAGCAGAGGCCCATTGACCTGGTGGGAAGCTTGAGCACCTGCCCTGTGAAGGAAGGCTGGGACAGCTGGACTTGCTCACCCTAGAGAAGAGACTGCTTTGAATAGGACCTAAGAGCACCGTGTCTGTTCTTACAGGGAGGTCATCAAGAAGGATCCAGGCTCTTCAAAGTGGTATGGCAGGAGGACAAGTGACAAAAGGCATAAATTTGCTTCAAAGAGGCTCAGACTAGATGCTCAGAAAAATTCAGGTACTGGGACAGGTTTCTCAGAGAAGTTTTGCAGTCTCTGTCCCTGGAGGGTTTCAAGATCCATCTGGATAAAGCCCTGAGCGACCTGGTCCAAACTTGAAGCTGACTCTTCTATGAGCCTATAATCTTCTTCTCTTTACCACCTTTTGTAAGATACCCACATTGTACATGGCACCAAAAGAGAGGAAGGAGAGCTGAGAGCTTTAGTAGAAATTTCCAGACAAAGAACCAATACCACATAAAGGGAGAACACTTGGTATACAAATGAGAAGCCACCTTTGAAAACATGGTGGACAGACACGCTGCAACGTGCAATAATGAAGCATATGACATTATACTTAATCCAATCCTTCAGTTACTTACGTGCTTTCCTGGTAATCACATCAATGGTTCTACTGGGAGGTCCATAGCCTGCACTGTTGAAGGCAGAAACATCTACATGGTAGCGAGTATTAGGCTTCAGGTTTTCCAGTTTGGTTGAATATTCTTGATTGCTCACTTGTACCCTCTGTGCAGCTGCTTCTTTATCATGAGCAGCCCAGTAACGAATCTGTAAGCAAGAAAATGGAATGATTAAATTTAACATATTTAGTCCTAAAGAAAGTTTATAAGAAATTATGTATGCTGGCAATTTGTATGCTACATACTTGGAAGTAAGTGAGGTAAAAGAAATGAAACAGCAATAGCATGGAATTCCTTCTACAGGCTGTGATTTTAACTGAGTTGTATACAGACATAAAGAAATGGAAACAAATTCAGATTTTATTATGAAACCTTTTCTCACAGTGGTTTAACTTGTTCTCAGCTAAGTCATAAGAGGCCTGGAAAACGGTTAATACCTTCAGAGAACAAAACTATTTTCTTCCTTCTGTTTTGTTTGAGCATTTTACTCTGAACTTTAATATTGTTTCACTATATTACAGTGTAGATGATACTCTGCTTACATTTTCACAATATTTTGTTTGAAATGCCTTACCAATTTAATCTCTTTGTACTTCAATCTGGGGAATGAGAAGTATTCATTTGTGTTATCTGAATGTGCAGGTCTAGATACGTGTACCTAATCATTCTCTAAAGCTCTTTGGCTAAATTCAATCAGATTTCATGTTACAATATGATATTTGTCAAAGTAAGAAAGAACATGAAAATGCTTAAACCAGGGGAAAAGTATGTAAGCTTGAAACATCTTAACATCCAAAGACAATTAACTGTACATAGAAATTCTGTGATTTTTTTTTCCCAAGAAATTGTTCCATTCTACTTGAATTCATTATGCATTAGAAAACACCACTTCAAAAGAGAGTAATTCCTATAGACTTGTAGATGCCATTCTATATGGTCTCTCACACACACAGGATCCTATTCTATATGGCCTTGTGGATGAAAATGAGTGTAAAACACTGTCAGTCTCTAGGTTTTGTCTGGTTTATAACCATTTGCATAAGACTAACTCAGTGCACTAATCTGAAAGAATGGAAAGTTGTGTCCATTGCATTTTGGTTTTGAGTGTTTTTACTCTCACCATTTCTGCTTGGTTTCTGTCTGTCTTCATGACTCTTGGGTATGCCATATGAGGGCTTTCTAAAACTTTTTAGGAAGAAGTTAATGTTGGTAATTTTAGGCTCTAGGAAAACTCTTGCTTTTATTGACTGGTGACATCAGGTAGCCTGTTATTGTATCTTTTAAAAAGCAACCACTCTCATCGCTTCTGCTGACATTAGTTTCCTTTGGGAATTTCATTTAAAGAATAGGTTAGATAGGCAGATAGTTTGTCAAGGTGTTAACATCACAGTTCTCTTCACGAATAGTGCCTACAACCCTTGTTTGGCAAGGTTTTATTTTCTCTTGTTCAAATTTAAATGAAAATGTTTTGTAAAAGTATTTCTTTCTTTTACCTCAGAGCAGATACTGTGGCTGAATGAGGAGTGCTGCAGTAGAGGATTTCTCTTCACCTACTTCAACTGTCTTTGGACACGGTAATAGAAATATCACTAACTACACAGAGCTTACTCATTTAAATACTAAAATCTCTTGGCAATGTTTGTTACCTCTGTCTTGCTCACCAGTGTTAGAGGTTACTCACACTCTGATTATTACACATGTGACAATATCTCAATGACTTTTCTCACTCTACTCTTTCCTGGTGTACAGACAATCACATTGTATCTGCAGGCCAAACAGGCTCTTATTTTTAAATACAGCATGCATACCTGCCTTTCAGCAGGCACAAACAGGTCATTTGTAGTTGCATAAAGTATGTCCTGCACAGTGTTTCGGAAGTTTCATCCACTAGCATCCTAAACAGCATTTTACTGTAATTTAGGCACTCACACTCATGAAAGTCCCACTTACAAGGGCGACTATTTTAATGAGTCAACAACCTTTGCTGCAAAACGAGCGAGAAATGTGCACCCAAATCCAACCTGCAGGATTCTCCAGCAAGATGGTAACCTCCACTTGACAAATGGTTTCAAACTGGGATGGATCTGAAACCATCACAGTCATTTCAGCTGAAGGTCTGATTATGATTTTCAGGTCAGACTTTTTTTTATATGTTTATAATTAACAAGTTGCTACTGTTAAACTGCCGTTGTTGAATGCAAATAGCTGTATACCATAAACTGTTCACTCCAAGTGGCTGACTCAAGAGTGAGAGGGTGTGCACATCAGGAGTTAGAGAACATTATGTCTGTCTCTGTCCCTAAGTTCAAACAAGTTTCTAGCCTGCAGCAAAGCAATGCCTGTGAAGTTCTAGGAAGCTGAAATTTTATTAGCTATGACAGAACCAATGGTAGCTTTGTTGTTGATATTAACTGGCCACTGAAGACTCATTAATTCATTTTTAGTATGTTCTATTATGCTAATTAAGTACCTGCTTTGCCTAAAGATGGTAAACACACTTAATGTGAAGCTTTTGTTAACCATGGGGCATATGCTGGGAGCCTTTAAATACCTTTGACTTGTAAAAGTTTCTACAATCCTACTGTTCATTTGCACTACAGTGATGCTAAGGGTGTAATATAACAAGTAATATATAGCATCAAACAAGACAAGCGAGAATAACGAATGAAAATGTAAATTACTTCACTGAGAGCATATTACATTTCAGGCAGAAGTAATACAATTTAAAAATGAAACTCTAATATATTTCAGTAAACACGGGACAATGGTGGTTAACAGCAATAAATTTGTAAAATAAAACATCTATTGCATAGAAGCATCAGGGAATACGGACAGTATCTTTGGGACTGCATGCACTGAGGAGCCATGGCTTTTAGCAGGCTTTTGTAAGAACTGATAAATCTGAATTTCTCTATATGGATGGAGATAGTTTTCATACTTTATCTCATCTGTAAGTGTGAGCTGAGGAAACTCCTCTGTAATGGCAAAATGCATCAGCTCACACTCATCACCATGAGCACAGTCATCCTGACAGTATGCATTAGTGTCAGGAAAATCTGACTCCTCCTGGTGTGAAAAGCTTTGTGTCACAGGTGAAGTAACTTCAGGTACTTTGCTCGGGGTACTCCCACCTCTTAAACGCTATCATTTCAAAGGTCAATTACGCAACTTTCAGGCAAAAATAATGACCAAATTGAAACTGAGAAGGTGTTTTGGTGAATGAGGGATCTTGATAATCTGTGTTACAGCTGAGCAGTAATTAAAAAATAAATATTGGAACATTTCTTGATGCCAATAGAGACAGAGCCTTCCACATATATTCACTGGAACTTTATAATGTAGTTTGAGTCCTTCTCCCTCCACAACTTGTATTGTAACTTCAGAAAAGTTATTTGTGGCCTTGACCTTCCAGAAGAACTCTCCCTATTTCTGCCCTGTCCCATGGCTCCTTCAGGGATCATGTGAGATCTGATCTTCAAGAGCACACAACTTTCTTTTTGCCCTCAGTGTAAAAGCACAGACTTGCCCTTTGCTACCTCCCCCTTTAGTAGAATGAGGCTGGTGACTGCTCTAAGAGAAAAAGATCCCAGAATTAACATCACACTGAGTTCTGTGGGGCAGTGCTTCATGCCTTTCGGTCTGTTTATTGTATAGGCAGATGTTTTCCACAGTCCTGATAATTAGAATTCTACTTTAGAAAAAGAGAAAAAAAGCCCAGAATAAATCATATTCTAAAGCCACTGCTCACTGTACACATTCAAGATTCTAAAGCCACTGCTCATTGTACATATTCAAGCTACTCAGTTCACACTGTATTTGTGGATGCACAGTACTTCTCCAGGAATGAATGGATGAAGTTATGCTCCAACTATCAAAGTAAGGCCACACCTCTCATATCTATATTCTGTGTAACAGAGCTCTCCACCAAGTCCCAGGGTATCCCACCTTTCTTGAGAAGAGCAGTTATTCTCTTTTCAGCCCAAAATCCAACCTCTTTTCAATCCAACCTCTTCCAGCACTCCACCTTGCTGCTCTCTCTCCACACCCTGACAAGCCACCTGGCATGTGTGTGATGCGTGTCTGTTCTGGTTAATCAGGGTGTGCAGGCTTCATGTCCAGTTTCTGCCCAGACTGTCCAGCTCAGGAGTGCAGCACTGCTAGACATCTGGCTGGCTCAAGCTCACAGACCTGAGCACTCCACCCAGCTCTCAGTTACAGCTGTGATTTTGTCTATCCTACTCTAGTTGCACAATCTCTAGGAAACACCAAATCAGTGGGCTGCTTTAGTAATTTAGGAGATATTGTTGATGTCAGTGTCTTAATTTCAAAACCCAGTGTCCTCTGCCTGCAATTTTAAAACTTTATGTGTGTACTGTGTGGAACCAAGGTTTATATGGGACACTATGATAGTTCCTATTGAGGTCTTTCCTATGATATGTTACAGTGTCCCAGAATTATTATATAAATCTCAGGGAGACAGAAACAGAGATCAGGAAATATAGAAATACGTAAACAGAGATCAGGAAATATAGAAATAAGTATTACTAATTAAAATAACATCTATTCACAGATTTGAGTTCTAAAAATACATTCTATGAGGTTACTCCACATTTGTATGTGCTCATTTTGGAACATAGAGGCTACCATCAGGCAGCCGACAACTTAAAACACAAAACAAGTCACTAACAAACTAAGGTCCAAATTCTTGTTCTGGAGTGCAGCCAAAGTAAGCTGGCTGGACACTGTAGAGTTTGTCAGCATCCACTGTGCACAGAAGATGTTTAAGACTTCCTTGCTGGAGTACTGCATGGTTATTTCTGGTGGCACTCACCCTGTGGCTGTTGTCATCTTTGGACAATGACAAGAACAATTTTTACCAGTAGCACCACTTAGTCTTGGACCAGATGAACATAACTTGAAACTCTTTTTCATGTGGAGAGCAGAAATTATGAAGAAAACATTGTGGTCTTGCACAACAGCACTGTTTCTGTTACACTGAATTCTGGGCATTTTTCATATAGTCCCACTTGATACAGGATTTGTGGGTGAGTTATATTAATAACTGCTGATAATTTAAATGGGCCACAAGTCAGTTACAATTTCATGTCTGTGTTGACAATTACACCTAAAACTTAATTTCAGTATATTTTGAGAAGGTAGATAGGCATTTGATTATATAGCAGACAAGATTCTTTCATGAAATAATGATGCCTTTTTTCAGCTGAACAGTGAGAACATACATTTGTTACTATGTTTTAGTAATGAAGTATGTAGCACCAAACATAATCTGTTTCTTAGGGTTTGAAATATATACAGCAAATGACAACTAAAGAGATGTGAACTTTAAAGAATAGAAAGCTAGAGTAGGAATTATTCTTGCATTTAACTACTGAAATTAAATGAATGAGAAGATATACAGTGTCATCACTAAACTCACCTGATATCCTTCCACAGACTTGTCAGAAACATGGTGCCAAGAAACAGACATTTCAGAAGACGACAAAACTTTTACGCTCACTTCTGTGGGTATTTCAGTTGGAGCTGGAAGATGAAACACATGTTAAACATCCAATCTCATCCAGCCAGTATTATACTTGCTTACAGGGGTGGCTCTTACTTTCAGGGAGCCAAGTGTGTTAGTCTCTAATCTGGCTTTCTGGCTTTACTTGGATAAACTTTAAATTCAGTGATGATCCGTATGGGAAATGGTTCTATAAAAACAAAACAATGATCCTATTACTTGGCTCACACTATGTATTGCTACGGTTCAACAGATTTCATGCTGAAATTCGTAAATTAGAGACAGCTTTGATGAGTAGAATCAAGCATTCAGTGATCCTCTAATAAATCGGACAGCAGCTCACAGATCATATATATCCGATTTTTGAAACCAGTTACACAGAAATATTCACGTGTATGTCACAGCTGTGATGATACAAAGTTTTTATGGCTAGACATTAGAAGTAGAGCTGGCCAGTGGCAATATAAACTTGAGCATAGGTGAGAAATAATCCAAGAGCACCGTTCTATCAGGCATACATCACACAGTCCATTTTGTTTGTCTTCTTTGTTCTGGACAACAGCTCACGCAAAACATAGAACATTATAATGCAACACACTTTTATTCAGGGCTTAGAATATTAAGTCCTAGTTTCATTATAAGAAGCTGTTAATTTCACTGCTGCTTGTATTTTAAGTGAGGTAAGGAATTTAAAAAGGCATAAACTTAGCAACGTATCTATAAAAGATACAGTTTTCCAAGCTAAGAACAGTTCTCTGTCACAAATCTTTTGGAAGAGTTTTGGTGAGGCATTGGAATGGGCTGCCCAGGGAGGTGCTGGAGCCACCATCCCTGGAGGTGTTAAAAAAACCCATGTAGATGTGGCACTCCAGGACATGATTTAATGGTCATGGTAGTGCTGGGCTGACGGCTGGACTTGATGATCTTAGAGGCCTTTTCCAACCTTAATGATTCTATGATTCTATACAAGTTGCAACAGACAGGCACAGCAGCCCAAGCTGAGGAAAGCTTTCATATACTTAATCTTCCAACTGGGCATCCAGTCAACTATGCATGAAAACAGCCACTGTCAAGAAAAAAATCAGTTACATCTCTCATGAAAAGTATCCCAGGTAACAAAATAATCTTATATGCAAAGTTACCTTTTGTAATTGTCTTTCAATGACTGTTAATAATGCAAATGTATAATTAAAATATTATACATTATTGCAAAATTGTTTTTACAATGACAGGAATTTAGATAAGCAAGAGGCCTGTGCACTCATTTACTAGCACTCATTAGTCACTACTAGCAATGGCAGGTATGACTAGCAGTTATCAGACATGGAACCTGGCTTAAAACACATGGGAACACAGAAATTCTCCAGTCACTAAAGGGAATAAAGATGTCCACAGCTGTAACTAGACACACATAGAAACATTACAAAATACAAAACCTCAGTGGAAATGGTGTCATTATATTTATGTATGTATATTTATACATAACCTGTATGGAATGTTGCATGACCATATTGTTTTAAACCTCAGTAATGCCTTTGAGAAGTTGTGTTCTCTGATAGTAGTACTATCACTTGCTGATTCAGAAGTACAGGTGGAAGAGATGTGATCATCTAATCCATTCCCAAGTCACTGTCAGACTTTTCTCTATTGTTCCAATTACAGAATTTTCCAAAATGTTTCATACTGAAAAGTTCCAACTGCCAAGGATTTGGATGATACAATACTCTGAACAGCATTTCATCTGCTTATGCTTGTTTATGAGCTCCAAGTAACTTATATCCCTATTTGGCATTTTATGTTCTAAAACTATTTTGCAGTCTTTCCTGAGCCAGAAAGATGACATCACCTGCTCTTCTCCAGCTTTCTACTTCACTAATTCTACCAATAAAAGAAGAGATCCCATGGGCCTCACAATGCATTCTCTTCACTGAGAACATAGTGGTCATCCCAGAATTACTTCTAAGCGTAACTACACAAAGTTAAGGCTGGGAGCCAGTAGGCATGAGAGGAGGTATGGAAGTGCCTTTGTGCAAGTCCTGATGCCAGCAGAAAACTCAGCAGAATGCTCTTTGCTAATAGGCATTCCACCTATTAGCAAAATTCCTTCTAACCCGCCCTGCAGTTTCTGGATTTGATATAGTCAGTATCCTTACAGGAGCTGAGAGTACTATGGGTAAGGTTTGGAGCTTTGTGAATCTGACTGCTTTGGTGACTCGAGCTTGAAGTCAAAGAAAAGAAGTAGGTTCATGGAACTTCTATTCCTTTTGCTGTCTATATCTGGCAGCACTGAACCACAAATCTTTCTATCAAGTGTCTGGACTTTGATAAAGTCTATGTTAGAACATCAGCATTCACTGAAGTGACTTCCTATCTGGAAGCTGTCACTACTGCATATTTGGTTTCCCTGTCTTTTGGAGCTATTAGGCTCTGCCATGCCTCTGCACTTAGGTACACAAACACACTGCCATGCTGACGTGGTTAGTATAATCCTAACATAAACACGTGGGGGCTTATCAGTCAGCTGTCAATAATGTCTCTGAGAAAGGATGGATACTCAAGTGCTACTTGGCAGATACATCTTTTATTACACCATAGCTATTTAGCAACTCATTTACACAACTACAAACACAACCATCCGGTTGCTGCAGCAGCTGTTGAAGATGACATCCTAAGGTACACTTTTCTGAGAAAAAAGGATTAGTATTAAACTTTTCAGATAGCTAAAAGTTGCTAGCTTGAATCCTGAATTATTGCAAGAAACAAGAGGACTACTTTATCTTTTCTCTGTGTGTGGGCGATTTGTGTGCAAAGTTCCCACTGCTGCTAATGGGAATCATGAACATAAATCTCCCTTAAAATACACAGAGGAGAGAACAGAGTCGGAAGTGTGAGACTGTGGCCTTGTTATCACATCCCTCCTCTTGGCTCTTTGGTCTGGATCTGTTGATTTTGTGAAGGAGATTCTGCTCTACAGAAAGAAAAATATGAGCAATTCTTCAGGTTGCTGGCAAAAATTAATAAACCACATTTTTTTTAAAACAGTCTTGAGTGATTACATTGCAATTAGGATGTTGTATACATTTCTTCTGATTTAAGATAAACTTTCTAGTACTTTCTTTCTCTCACTAAGTTTGGAACTGTCATTTAAAATTCAATCCTAAAGATCACAGCATGTGAAATAATTCCACTGAGACTTAAGAAAAAGATTTTAGTGACACGCCAAAGAGGTTTTCAATAAATTATTCACTTGATAGCTCTAACATCCAAAACAGAATAAAGAATGTGGCAGGGATAATTTATATTAGACTCTAAACATGCTGGAAATATAACTAGATACAACTGAACTATCATTCCTTCCTAATTTGGTGCTAAATTCTGACAATGATCAGCTAGAATAATAGGCTTTACTGTAGTCTGTTGAGAAGAAAAAAAATGACTTATATGTCAAATACATGTATGAAGATCATAGAGACATTGCTGGGCAATGATGTAAATGTTCTAGGTGACCAATATGAAGATCAGAATTTCCTTCTTTAAATTCTTAAATCTGTGAACAAGCTATGTGAAGAATCTTGAATGCTTCTGTGTATTGTGCATTGATGGCAAGCAGAACCAAGTGCTCTGCATTATCCATAAAGCAGAGTCTGATGTTGTTTATTCAGAAGAAATGCAAGTGTTTTGTCTTTGCAATACACACCCCCCTTGCTGAAGGTGCACATTCCTGTACAAATCAGTGTCAAAGACCAGGCTGTCTCTACCGATGTTGGCAGTGCTGATGTGGACCCTCAGCGTAAAACTCACCTGGAACCTTTACTCACCATCTTGTGCTGAATAAATGACAGCAGTGAGACTGAATGGTCCATCCCCTTTGTTGTTAAAAGCTTTCACTTTCACTTGATACTGGGTGGAAGGTGGCATTGACTCATCCTTGTGGACATACCGGCCAATTTCAGGATTAGTAACTGTAACTCTTCTCCATTCTTTTTCACCAAATGGCTTGAAAGCAACTATATAACCAAAGTTATTGCCATAGTGGTATTCTCTTGACAAAGGCTAAAGGGTAAAAAGATAAAATATTATTTTTTTGCAGCCAACTAAACAAATGGATATCTAATGAAAAATAAATAATACAGAAAGCATCAATAGATGTATTATAGAAACACTGAACTAAAGTTCCATTTTCTCCTGGTTTGCTTCTGCTCCCTTTAAAAATACACCGTGTTCCTTTAAAATACACCACCCTCATTATGCAGATCTGCAGTAGTAGCATGTCTGTTACTGAAACATTTTAAGATCTTGTTCCTCATCCAAACTCAGTACAAGACACATCATGTTATCTCCTACAGAAAGAAATCAAGAATAATTCTGTACCAAAACTGTTGTCAGCTGTAGCTAGCAGAAAAGGCTATCCTAAGGAGTGATAGTGGATATGTAACACAGACAGACTGTGCAAGTATACGGGTCCAGGGGCATGGGGGGAGATGGATATTCCTGCGAAACAGAGAGAAGGGAAAATTTATGTGGCTGGCCCAAATGATATTGATTTACCTAAAGGTGGTCACCTAGGCAACTGGCACAGCTGATGAAGAGAGACAGACACGTTTAAAGCATGATTATTCCTACCAGCTAATGTACTTTCATGTACCTAAGTTTATATTTATAGGCACTCTTGTAATTCAAAAAGTAGATTTCATGGACTAGGTCAGCTTTGATAGCTCATCCTCCTAATCTATCATGTATGTAGCTGCTTAAAATAAAACTGAGTCATATCTCACATACCAAAGTAAGCAGCCTGGATGTGGCCCTAGTCTCAGAATGATCTTCAGCCAGAGCAAACTTTAGAAAGCCACGACTGGCATTTAAAAAATATATGCTAGAAAGTCTTAAATAAAATGTTGAAAGCAGTTTGTCCTCCAATGGCTGCACATAATAAGTAGGTATAAGTAGATGAATAGTTTGTAGTATTCACTGAAAAATATGAGAAACAAAATGGAAGAGGGAAAGAAAAATGGGAAAAAATGAGGAAGAATGGGCATGCCACTCCTAGCTCTCTTTCTCAGTTCTTTCAAAACAAGACTCAGAAGAGCTTTGATTGCATCTCTGGCTGTCTCATTCAACCTGGGCTTATGAATCATAGCAAAAGCTGAAAGAAGGTTGGCAGCAACATCTGAACCTGCCATACATTTTGTTATTCTCTCCTTAATTAAGGACTATTTTGAGTAGCATATGCAAATCTCAGCACATTTGGGGGAATCAATATACACCTTTATTTTAGCCTTACAGTTAGATATGTTGTTGTCTGTCAGACAGGCTCCATAAATCTAACGTCTCTATTCAAAACCACTTGCTAGACATAGTAGTGGAATACTATTGGGAAGTAAATATTTGAAGTCATGCCTAATTTGTCTGACTAAATGAACTGCTCATTACAGAACAGATGTAAAAAGCATGATATTAGGTAAGAGAAATAATTGGAACATAAATCTGCTTGGGTGTATAGGAAAGACTGAAATGATCTTATACTTCAGATCTTGCATTAGTCACTATTCTCACGGCTATAACTTTCTTTTTTTTTTAATTTGGTCACAGTCAAGTTTTCACTGTATTGAAAATGCCACGAGAAAGAGTCTTTACATGTAATGCCAAGAAGCAGCTCTGCAGTTTGTTAAAGTTTTTATGCAACAGCACTTGTGAAGAAATAATAATCTAGGACTTGCGCAACTGTCCATTGCATGTCTTGTTAGACTGTTGCTCTTCAAAAGTAAATAAAGATCAGAATCAAATCAATTAGGATACATCTACTTCCTAAGCTATTGTTAGTGAGACTAAGAAATAACCTTTCCAAAGTATTTTAATAGAAGCATAGGTCTTCCTTGTTCAGAAACTTAGAAATTTTTTCTTTGGGTAAATTCATTGCTAAAATATTTCAGAAGACTGAATAAATATTTTGAACTGAATTAAAACAAAAAACCAAACAAACCCAAAATAAATCAGGAAAACCTAAATGTGTTAGCCCAAACATATGGCTGACTACTTCTGTGTCTTGAGAACTCTTCCAAAGGAGTATGATCAACCTTAAGTACGAACCGAAGGAAATATGCATATGGATTAACATTGGGACATTCATAAGGAGGACCACTATATAACAATGACAAAGTTGCTGTTGGAATTATGTCATCTTTATATCACTTCCCTCAACAAAAAGGCACTCTTCACAGAGGTAAATAAGCTGCTAAAATAAAGCATCTGAAAAAAACTATTCCCCAAAGACACAAATGGCATAATGTGCCCCATGTGCCCTGTAGCCATGTGAAGGTGAACAGAGAGGTCATTAGCAAGATATACCTGGTAATTTTTTCAGGCGTAACATTTAATTGCCTTTCTTTGCCAGAGGTAATGCTTCTCTAGCTCTGTTTTCTTTCTGGATGTCAATAGGCTCTGACAGGAAACGGAGAGGCTTTCCGCCCCCCCCCTCTGCCTTTATTTCTCCTCCCTAGCTTTGCCTAATATCCTTCAGAAGACTTCAGTTCTCTCTTCCATGCAACTCTTGCCTACAGAACTTCACTTCTAAGTTCTTATCCTCTCTTGTTTTGGGTTTTGCTTTATTCCTACCTACTTGTCTCTTTTTCCCTTCTACCCTATTTTCAGAAGTGTCCTTTTCCCCACAGTATACGTAAATTTTAAAAGCCATTGCTTCAATACCAGAATGAAGACAGCATGTATACATGTAGCTATTTATATGAGACGTTTTAAAGACAAAATATCTTGGACTGAATATCTACAGGACACATGAGAGATGAATTTTTCAAAAGACTTTGTTTACTGAAAAGCTTTTTTGATAATGCTAATTTTTGGAACTTGTCATTCCATTATTTTTTTGTGGTTGACGTTTTATCTCTGTCCCTTTTCCCTTTTTAATTTTTCTTAACACATAATCATTAAAGAAAAAAGAACATCTTGGAGAAAAAGAACAACATCAGTATGTGGATATCAATGAATGGCTAAATTGTAGTATGAGGCAACATTGTTTTGTATTACCAATCACATTAGCAGGAAATAAAATTTATAAAATGTAAATACAGAAAAATTTCCTTAAACTTCCAGTTAATAAATATGACTGCCTAGTTTATAGAATGGTGATGTATTCTTTTTTGTTTTTAATAAAGCTTGTAAATCTGTGCACAGCACATTGAAGTCATTATTAAGACATTATACTTTTAGCTGGAGCAATCAAATCTGCACACTATTCAGATCGTAACTTAAAAAAAGGCTCAAAGAAAGATACAATATGCAGAATTTTCTCAAATGCATTTACATCAATGCATTATCATAGTCAGTATGTGTTTCAATTTATTTGAAACACATTCAGAGACTGTTTTAGATAATATTTTAGAAATGCCCAGTACATAAACACCTAAAATATTGTATTCCTCATTCCTTATATATTTTTATATGAGAAGTCTGAAAACCTATATATACTGTGTACAAACCCTGCTCTCACAGGAACCAGTGGCAAATCATCCGTGGGTTTCAGGAGGAGCAAGATCAGAAACAAGGAAGCATAGGTTTTGTGCCATCTCAGTGTAACACCTACCATCCACGTTATTGTCAGCTCTCGATTGCTTCCCCCGCCTCCTCCAACATCAGAAGGAGCCACATTAGGAGCTAGAAAAATAGAAGAGACAAAAATGACCATAAATTATGCAGTCAGTAAAAATGTCACTATTTTCTTTTTTACCAGTATGGCCAACGAGCACACGTGGCACACAGTAATTAAAATAATGATAGCTGTGAGAGTCTGTGGTCTTGCCAAGACTAACGTATAGCTACTGCTGCAGGAAACGTGCCAGTTCTAACCATAGCTGCCAATCATTCCTCTTTTAAACTATTCCCTACAAATATTTAATTGAATATTCAGAAATTGAAAACTCATAGGTCTTAAATGAAGTACTATGTGTATTGTTTTTGCTTCCTCAGATGTGGGTATGCCAAGGGCTCAAGCACCCAGGACTTGCACATCTATTCACCTGAACAGACTGTGGTTAGTTCCATCTGTGTCAACATCTTTACCCATACTGCGTGATGTTCAAACCCATGGATGTATCTTTGAAGCACTGCCATCCTAATCCTATTCTAGATTGGTGGCACACGTCTTCCTGAGTGGCATGTTCAGAGTGGGTAGATGTTCAGAAGCAAAACTAGCATAGCACTTAATAATTTACTAATTACATTTTATGCTGATATTCTGTATAATTAGTTAAAATGTGTTGATCTATTTATCATTAGTGCACAGCTGAGTGGTAAAGCAGGACTCCACTGCAAATCAGTCCTCTATCACATTTCTGGAAGACTCTCTGCACAGAGTATGTTGATTCTATTGCTATCCCCTATGCTGATTGTATATTTTATAAATTCTTATATGATTAGGCATTTTCTCCACTAATCAGTGAATGTCACAAGATAGTAAGTTCCTAAGCACTCTCCCACTATCAATTAAGATGTTTACTGAGGTCTTCTCTGAGAGTCAGCTGAGAAGAAACACAAAGCAGAGAAGAATTAAATTTTTTGGAAAGAAGAAAAAATGTAACAATAAATTTGAAATGGAAATTGACATTTAGTGCATGGCTTGCATTATTTATTTGTGACCTTATAGAAAAATAAGTCAGTGGAGAATGAGACTAAATATACATGTCATGACAATTCAAGAGGAAGCTTGAAATCATTACTTGATCTTTTTATTACTGAAATACAAAGTAGTCATGCTATCTGTTATAGCATATAACTTTAGTGCTAAGTTAGAAGTAGGGGTTTGCTAGAATGCTTAAATAGTCAAAGAAAACATGCAGGCTGTCAGAGAAGAGAAAAAGATTGTCTAATGTCTTACAAATCACCCTTTTCAAGCTTCATTCTCTCAACCACTAAACCCACGTTTCTCTTTCCATTGAGACCAGGTTACTAATCCAGACAGTGATACTTAGACAATTACTCTAATGCATTTAGAAGCTAAAATACAAAAAAGCAGACTTTCATCCACTGAATTTCAAGAAATCACTGTGAAATGTGTTACTGATGAAGCAAGCACATTTCATTAAAAAGCAAAATCACAGCACACATTCTTAGCATGATAATAATAGCTACTGAAATTACAGTTATCTTCAAGAAGAGAGATTTTGTAACTGAAAAAGATGCTGATAACATTTAACAGACATCCTCTGTCACCCATACAGTAGAACAAAGGCACAGCACTGTTTGTTGCTGTTTAACACAGAACAAATGTTAAAAATAATTACAGTGTGTGGATCTGGGTTGTTGTTTATGCACTAAAATAATTACCTTCTTCAGATTTACATGAAACTGCACACGCAGTACTAGCTCTGTAGTACTTTGGAAGTTGACAGTGCAACCTAAATCCTGCTGTTGCTGCTCACAATAAATTCAGGCCCCTGGTAGAAAACGCACTTGGGCACAGCAGTTCATCTGCAAACTGACTGATTTATACCCTGTTTTGGCATGGCAAGAAGTGCTGACTGATGCCTAGGAAAACTACATCAACATTTTGCTTTGTTTCACCAAAAATGTCTCACAGTCTGCCAAAGATGACAACGGTGCTGTGCATGGGGAATCACACAACAGACTATCTCTTGCAAAAGCAATGCACCCTGCTACAGAACTGGAGGGTGTGCTACTGGAGGGTGTTTTGGGAGGCTACAACAAACGTCATGAACATGGCACACTGAAAACTGCAGGACTTTACCACTATTCCACCTGTAAGCATTGTTTCCCCTCCTTTTCTGTCTCTTTTCTGACTTTTTCAAAATGTCTGTTCTGCATCAGGCACTCCAAGAAGCTTGCATAGATTTCTAATTTAGATTCTTAAGCCTTCAAATACAGCTGTTGAGTCATAAAATGTATGATGCTAATAGCCAATTTTATAGGCAGTAATTTCCTTTTACTCTACTATTAAAGTTTTGTGGCTTTTCCCTCCCTGTCCAGATTAATTTAACCGATCTGTTTTTCCTTTCTCCCTAAGAAACAATATTTTTAATGGACCATATGGGTCTTTTTTAATAAATGTTCTGAAATCTGCAATGCAAATACTTTTTAATTTGAAAATACTACCTAATCAAAACAATGGCCTAGCAGGTGTGCTTCAAAGAAATACTTTTTGCACTTTGGTCTTTCATTTTTAGTTTCAAATCTCAAGCTACAGGACAACAATTGTAAAGATATCTAGGTTGCACATGGGTGCTAATATGTGTTAAGGAGGATATACTGGTATTCAGGCTTTGTTGGATACAGACTTATTGCAGTGATACATTACCTCCTACAGCATGAGTGTTATCTCCTTTGTACAGTCAAACTAGAAGGCATTATCTTTATTAATAACATCTAATTCCTTATCTTGGAGAATTCATTTTAAAAAGGATGTGTCTGAGCCTAAAGGATCTCCTTAAATATGCTCTGAGCTTTTAACACCGAACAATTAGACTGATAAGGGCATATGTTGTGTTGGATAATGTCACATCTTTGACACAGAATAAGAAGACACAAGGCCAAACCTTCAATCACAGAAACAGGGCATTAGCCAGCATAACACGCGCCGTGTCATGCATTCAGAATACAAACCAGAACGGCAAATGGACATTTTCATTGCTAAACACATGCATGTTTTTCCCTGAGTCCTCTTAGCCTGGTCCCAGACAGATACATGCATTCATACACACTCAAAATACAGCGGGGGACCTCTGAATGATCTGGTACAACCCCGTTTCAACAGTGGAGGCAAATTTGCCATTTATATCACCATGTTTCTTTCCTGTCAGATGGTATCACATCTCAACAGTCTGGTATTTGCTCACTAAAATCTACAGTAGTGTGTGGCTGAAGAAAATACGCTCTATGCTTGCATCTTATAAAGTGCTTTTTACAAATAGAAAAACAAAATTTAAAAAATTATTAATAAAAATGTGACAATTGGGAAACACATTGAAAAACTGCAAGTTCTATGTTTACGTACGAGCGCCTTCAGTTCTAACTCTCTGTGAGGGCATACTCGGTTCTCCTGTCCCCAGAGTGTTTGTTGCTATTATTCGGAACTCATATTCCATCCATGGAATTAAATCAATCACTGTAGCAGATTCCATATTCCCTTCAATATCTGATGGTTCTGGAAAGAAAAAAAGAAACTGCTTTAGAAAACAGCATTTTTACAATGAGTTCAGTCATCAACGCAGTTGATTTTGGCAAAACTACCACTACTCTGCAACCACGTAGAGCCAGCTGAAGGAAACTTCATGTTGTACATTAGGAATACCACGTTTTAGTAGGAGTACTCGTGGCAGTGACTTGTAATTTGGAAACTGTGACACCATCTTGGATAAAACCTTACAGACTTCTATGTTTTAACTGGGTGTGAACTAGAAAAAGAAGCACATGTAGTTATGAGGTATTTTTACTAATTACATATTGTAGTTTTGGAATTTCATTTTACCTAACAACAAATGCAATGAGAAGTCTGGAATGCATTAACAGTGAAATAAAAAATCATTGATATAGACAAGGGCTAGACGTGCAAATGTAGGGTTTGATCAATCAACAGAGAGTGGTTTAAAAAATGTGGTCATATTTTCATGCATCTTATTAGTAGTGAGCACATTACTACTTGCTGCTAGTTCTGATCCAACAAGGGTAAGTGTTCCTGTAATTCTTGTAAAGATACTTATTACTGTCAAAAGGATGAGCTTTTTTATTGTAAAGAAAATGTGTAACTCATGACTGTCCCACAGTTCATAGACAAGAGGGGTTTTCTATAGCCGTTTCCAGTTACAGAAAGACAAGATTTTAATTTATTGCATGGGCCAAGACTCATTTCTCAAATAAGAGTATTATGTTCAGAGGGAGATGAGAAATGAGATATTCTGCACAGGAAAGGCAGCTGCTTTGGAATTAAAATATGAATGAAATGGCTGCAAAAAAAACTAGACACAGCAGTGTAAGCACTGGATGGTGACACAACTTTCCTCTACCTAAACATCATTCAATTTTTCAGTCTAAATTGAGGCTCTGAAAGAGAAAGAAAAACACTTGCCATTTTCTTTCCACTTGGCCACCACCCTCCCCTCATCTTTACTCAAAATATTTTCCTGTCCAGTCAGCAGAGCCATTGCAAACCTCCTGTGGCATCCAAGCCATGGCATAAATTTCATATTCCTCTTCCTCGGCTACTTTCAATCCCTTCTTTAATCTTACCATGCCACAGATTCCCAGAATAAATATGAATACTCAACACAATATGATCCCCTTAACTGGAAAGAGCAGTATAAATGTAAACAACTTATTATATAACCCATTCATACATACTTCCAGTAGAGGTAGAATAGACTTCTTTCATAAAACACACTGGTTATTATGCAACTTGAGATGAATGATTTGTTTTGGGAATGATGGTAGCAGCAACAATAACAACAATATTTCCAAAGTGCAATGCCAAAGTGTATTTTTTTTGTTCCACACATTGCAAATTAGCAGCATTAAATGATAGCCTAAACACTGATGAGAGATCAATTTGGACTATTCATCACGCTTCTTTCACATGAATGTGAACACTGAGCCAAACTGGGAGGAGTCCAGAAATTAAGTAAAAGCTTGCAGTGGTGCCAATGATTGTTACTATGGTGACTTTATCTATTTTTTGAGGGAATAATTTATTAATCAAAATTACTCAGCGTGGCTCAAACAAAAAAGCAATGACTTTGAAAATACTGGAATACTTAATGTCAACTTCTCAGAAATTAGTAATTTCTGTCTTTCCTGCTAGTTCCTTAAAAAAGGAATTCCAAAATGTAGATTTCTCCCTGTCCCAGTCAAAATATGAAACTGGCTCAATATCATAGAATCATAGAATCATA